CTACATGTTTTGTGATACCGTATTTTCCAGACTATAAGTCGCGCCTGCCAAAAATGCATAATAAAGAAAAAAAAAAAAACATATAAAAGTCACTCTGGAGTATAAGTCCCACAATTGCCCTCTAGTGGCTGTCAGTGTGAAAACAAAATTTGAAATTTTATATTTGAATATATTGAATATAAGTCGCATCTGAGTAGAAGTCGCAAACCCAGCCAAAGGATGGAAAAACGTGAGTTATAATCTGAAAAATACTGTATATAAAAGGCGATTGTATGCAGGTTCTGACTGTGTATTTATCGTATGCTATTGGTTTGAAATTATAGATTTTATTGCATGTAAAAATGTACATTTTGCAATTTTCTTTCTGTGGTACAACAGGTTAAAAAAAACAACTAATTCTGTCATCATTCAAATGTTTCAGATGTGTTTCTTTGGAGGTAAAATAACACAAACGGCTCCTTTTAGTGTTCAAGTGTTGCAGACATCTGGCGTAGGCCACATGTTTGTCTCAGCACCGTCAGGTCTGTGTATGAAATCAGCGAGACGCAGTGACCAGACAGGTTTTTTGTTTAGGCCTAATTTGTGTTACAACAGAATTTACCACAAAGCAGAAACAACTGGTTACTGTGTGTGACAAATACAACAGGGCCGGAAAAGAGCTGACACAGTCGTTTTCTAAAATCAACAAACCAAACTGTGAACGTTGAATTTGAAGACTTTGACAAGTAGCTGTGATCTAATACTGTCTGTTTATTGTGTTTCTCTCCCCTCTGCTCTGTATCAGCTCCTGAGCTCTGAGCTGAACTGACATCACACGGCTTTGAATATCACTGCTGATGTGACACCTAGTTATTCACCTGCCTGCACTATTTGAACTGAAGTGAAAGTCATTTTTACTGTCATTGTGACACAGCACACAACGACCTCTGACCTCTGCATTTAACCCATCACCTAAGTGGCCCAGGGGGCAGCTCAAGCTGAGAGCCCCGGGGGGTGAGGGAGGGGGGCAGTGTGTGGGGAGGATGCCATGCTAAGTGCACCTCAGTGGCACCTGGTGACTGGTGGCTTCGAACCAGCGACCTTTTCTGAAGTCTGATTCCATAACCACCAGTAGTTTCACAGACTCTCCAGTAACTGAAAACATTTGCAGAAATATAAAACTGTTCTCCCTCTCCAGGCTCTAACTTCTGCCTCTGGTCTGACAGACTCTCCTGCAGGAGGCGCTGTATCCTCAACACTACACTTCAAAAAAAAGTTCATCTTCATCTCTGTCAACGAACATGAGGAGTAACAGACTTTGGAAATCCTCTGACTCACAGCGACCACACAGACTGAGGACAAGGCCTTCAACTACAAATGACCAGAGTATGTGTTTATCAATACCACCGTGTTTTCTGGACTATAAGTCGCACTAGCCAACAAATGCATAACGAAGATATAAAAAAACCTATAAAAGTCTGTCAGTGTGAAAATAACGAACATGTACATTTTCAGTGGTACAGGAGTAGCAGATACTGGTACACAAGCCTAGAGTGCCCTCTAGTGGGTGCCAGTGTGAAGATAACAAACACGTGAAAGCCTCTGGTCTGACAGACTCTCCTGCAGGAGGCGCTGTATCCTCAAAACTACACTTCAAAAAAAGTTCATCTTCATCTCTGTCAACCAACATGGGGAGTAACAGACTTTGGAAATCCTCTGACTCACAGCGACCACACAGACTGAGGACAAGGCCTTCAACTACAAATGAGTGATCAGCACAGACATTAGAATGTATTTTTGGTCCTGCTCTAACTCTCCTGCATTAAGAAAATGACACTGACGTAATATTTGTTCCTGTAAACAAATTCATGATTCTGATGAGTCTGTCTGTACAGATGTGACGAGGAAAAAAAAGAGCTCGGAGGAGGTGAGACAATCAAGCATGACTCACCCAGTGGTCACATGAAGTAAGACAAGTGTCGACATGGTGGCAGCAGCAGCAGCATAAATACATAAATACATATATATATATATACTGCTGTCTCTTTCTAACTACTTAAGGCACAGAGAACCCAAAGGTCACATCCACCACATTTAACAGTTTTTGTTCCATTCGTTCCAGTCACTGTTCCACAGTAGAACCCAAACAGAAAAAGACTTACTTTCCAGACAGGATATCTTGTCTCAGCTGCAGCACAAACAGATACCTGTTGGCAGAACAAATTTACGACGATCATGACTTTGGTTTCACAGCGGACATAAATCAGTACCTGTACCACAGGCCCCCGCGTCATTAACAATACATCATGTACTTTAACAAGTCTCTGTCCATTTGACCTTAATTTCAACGTGCCCACAGCAGCTCAGTAATTAGCCCCCCGCTCCCCGCGGACCTGTCCAACGGGCTTCAGGGGAGCGCTGTCTGCTTGGGTTGATGAGCGTATCTCTGGCTAGTGTTTGAGGACTTTACCTGGTGAACTCTTCGTGCAGATTATTGGGCTCCGAGGAGTAAAATTTCACCCTGAAGAAGAGTCTGTAAGGAGGTCCATCTGCAGGAGGTGAGGAGGGATGGCAGTGAGAAACCCCCGTTTGACCCCCCCTTCCCTCAAAACCACACACATGTATTTACACACAAGTCAACAATAAGATATAAATATAACTATCACAGTTGTTACATTTAAGTTCCTAATATTAAATTTTAAAAATCCATTCTGTAGAACAGATTCAACAAACGTTTCTCGTTTCTCTACAAGGCCTGTTGTGCCCCCCCGCCCCCCGGGGAAGCACGCCCCGCACTTTGAAAAACACTGATCTAAATGAAATAGTTTCATCATTTTACAAACACAAGCTCTTTTATCTTTTCAGATTATTATTACCAAGGACATTCACCTTTATATCGTGCTACAGTTTCCTTCTGCAAACACTTACAACACACACTCACACACATGTGCGTGCACACACGCAGGAAATCATTTATTCCTGTAACAAGCCTGAGAACAAACAAGGGCACGGCCTTTAATGCTACTGCTAATCCCTGTGCCAATATTTCACCCTGTGCCACCTGCTCACCTACGCTATTGCCCAGGTAATAAAAACAAAAAGTTGGACCTACCCCGAATCTGCTTCTTAATGAGCTTGGACATGTCCAGCCAGTGCTGAAGAAGGAGAAACAACCAAGACAACGAGTGTGAGTGAGTGAAGTTTCAGCCAGAACTGACAGAAGTAACAGGTTACTCACAGAGACTTGGTCCGTGTCCATGAACTGTAATCCAAAGTAGTCTGTCTCAACCAGGTCGATGTGATACATGATCTGGTCAAAAAGGTCCTGACCTTTGGATTTGCTCTGGGAAAAAAAAAAGAAGAGGAAAAAGTTAAAATTGTTTTCCAATAAACCGTGTTCTGTGTTTGTGTGTTTTTATTTAATCTGCTCTGATACTGATGACATCATCTAGTCTGGATAATCTGTCGAACTGAATTAGATTGATTTTCAACATTCAGGTGATTTGAATGACCAGCAGCTCTGGTTTGAAGAAAAACAGAGGTATATATTTAGGGGATGAGTCGACAATATATATATGTGTGTGTATATTTATATATATATATTATTGTTAGTGCTAGTGTTGGTCAAAAGTAGCATTTTCTCTCCCATTACCTTGTACAGAAAGGAGATGTCTGTATTAATAATGGGTGCATCTTCATCTTTTTTTTACCAAAGTGGAAAAAGTGAAAAGTAAAAACAAAGTGTTAACTGTAGTGATTCATTTGTAAAATTAATAAAAACTTCAGTAATTAATTGCATTGTTAACTGTAGTGATTCATTTGTAAAAATAATAGAAACTCTAGTTATTAATTTTATAAATTCAAATTAAAAACCCCAAGTCATTTGAACACCTGGGCTGAAGGACTGTAGATCCAACAGTTCCACGTGTCCTTGTTCTAATACACCGTCCAAAGACGTTATTATTATTGGAAAAAGTTTTAATTTCACTGAAAAATCTCAAGCTTTAAATCCCATCTCCACCTGCCAGCATGTCTCTGTGGAGGCTCCACCTTCAGGTCAGACCAGACTAACTGAGCACAGAGCGATTCAAGTTTAAGCTGCATATTTGTTTTGACATAGTTCCATATTAATAATTCCATCATGTGGATGAGTGACAAAAAAACAGGTGTGAACCACAGACATCCACCTGCTGTTACCTGTACGTTTTTAATCACGTTTAATGATAGTAATTGTGATTAATCACCAGCTGCACTGTGATTAATCAGATTGTTACATAACCAATATTTAAGCCATAGTTATTTAATTACTGTATGAAGTTGTTAATAAAATTATTTCACTGTGAAAATAGCACTTGGAGAACATCACAGTCAGGCCCAGGTTTAATGTTACACAGGTTGTGTTTACCATGAAGGTAGGTCTCAGTCCTGGAGACACAACGTATCTGTGTGTGTGTGTGTGTGTGTGTGTGTGAGAGAGAGAGTATGAATCTAGGTCATAAGCAGAGGACAAGCCCCCGGGGGGGGGACCTTTGTTCAGGGATTTTGTCCATAAACTACAGTTCAGATTCAGATTCCGACTGTCGTTCATAAGCAGTACCTCTGTGTGTTTGAGAGTTTGTCAAATTGTGTTTTCTGAAGACTGAAGTCTGGCACAGCCGAGGCCAGAGCATGTGTTGGGAACAGCCGACAGCCTTGTACTTTGGATCTGGATAAACATTTGAAACTTCCTGGTGAGCTCATGAATGTGTGAGGAATTAGGAAATGGGTGGCACTGAGACAGGAGTGTCAAACTCGGCAGAAAAGTACGGGGGAAACTCTCGATCTCGATCTCGATCACGGCCTCTGTTTTTAACCACACACATGTACAATGACAGCTGGGATTTGGGGCATTAAACCCTTGACTGTGTCTGATCTTCTCTTTGTGCAGCCTGTAGTCAGCCTGCTGGCTTTGACAGGGCGAGTTCCAGCTCTGTTATTCACACCTGTATCAGTGCCCGTGGGAAAAGTCATCGACATGAACAAACTTGTTTCAACACACCTGTGACTCAGCCACGAGCTCAACCAGCCATGCGTCACCGCGTTGTTGCTGCTGCTGCGGCGGCGGCGTCTTACTTTTGCAGAGATCGTGGCTAGTCAGACAAAGACTCCCCACACCCTGATTACCCACCACACACTGCCTCAGCTGTTCTGCACGCAGCAGCTTCGGTGACACACATGACCTTCAAAATGGAAACGTCTTACGAGGAGCCACTTACGTACGCCTGCCCACGCGCTCGCTCGCTCGCTCGCTCATCAACCCACCAACCACTAGCATTCAAGCACAAGCCGGGGTAAATCAGATCAGGGAGTCAGGGAATAGACGGAGGGAGACAGAGGGAGATGACTGGAGCACAGGGGAGGAGGGAGGATGAGGAGGCAGAGTGTGAAAGAGTAAGACGATGAGCAACAGAGAAGGCCACCGAGGGAGTGTAAAAGAATTACTAGATTAATTAATTAGATGCGAGTAATGTGGCGGGAGTGTGGGGGAGGGGAGAACAGGTGAAACAGAGCGACCGGAGCAGAACAGAACAGAACAGGTGGGCAGCTTCACCTCTGCTCAAGTTTGAATCCTCTGCAGTAAGAATGAAAAGTTATGTCTATGTCTGACACACACACACACACACACACACTCCTACTGTACAGATGGCTGGAGCGTCGCCACTGATCGTATTGAAAAAAAAAGACACACGTGTGTTTGTTATACATGGAAGGCCCCATCGAACACCATGCTACACCTCTGGCTTCAGAAATAACTCTGTAATCTGGAAGAAAGGCAGATTCTCCCACTCTCTGAATGTCAGTGAACGCCTCTTGGTACCACTGAAAAATGTTGTCAACTGCATGAACCACAATCTCCTTTCAATTCCCAGGTTTATTTCCAGTAAAACCCCAGGACAGACGCCCAGTCACATGACCCTCCCTGGTTTCTCTTGGCTTCACCTGTCACTCACAGGAAGTGTCCACTGCCATGTTTTAACACAGGATCATTACGACATTGAGGCCTGTGAGGCAGAGGAAGTGACATCATTTTCTGAACTACCTTGGTACTTTCTCTGCTTTTGCTCCAACTATGAACTGTTGCTGTGTCCATGTCTGATGTAGAGCTCTATGGATTCTAAGTAAACAAATGAACACATTTTGCTGTGTCGATTTAATAAATTTTTTCTGTAACGCATGACATTTGAATAATTCTATTAGGATTGATGATAAAAAGTCCACTACTGTCATCTAGGCTAAAATCCTCATTATTTACTGTATTATTGTGAAAAAAAAAATCTTTTTGTCATGATAAACATATTGTTAAAGTTAGCGTGTATAGACATGAAATGATTAAATATTAAAACAGCTGACAGCATCCAGGCCCACCTCAAATAAATCACTGCTTATTTCCCAACCAACCTAAACAAGCCAAAGAAAGATCAGGTCTTGTCGGAGCCTGCGGTTACACAGCGAGGCTGCACACGTGACCTGAGGAGTGCACTGGGACGAGAAGTGGAACGTCTCCAGGAAATTCAAAGACATCAGTTTCCTCCTTCTGAACCTTCACAGACAAGTGTTTCACTGGAGTTTCTAAGTATCACTACATGTCAACGAAAAAAAGGGACGGCGACGCAACCAAAGAGGAAACTCCTGTTGGATGATACAGCTGTCAATCATATGTGGTGTCCACCCATCATGGCCTTAAAAATACTAGTTTCAAGATGTAAAGATTTACTGGTTGAAACAAAAAACAGTTTCAGTAATGTCATGGATTTGCTCACATGACGAGATTTAACTGTGAAAAATATATAAAAAACTATTTCACAAAAATGTATTCAAACATGGGCTGAATGTTTTTGACTGTAGTCATTTATAGTTTTTGTCTTATATCTTGTCCTGAAATGTCATTAATAAAATGTTTACTTCCAATCTCATCTGTAATCTGTCGTTTCTATCTAACCTAAATCTATAACACTTCCTGCAAGAATAGATCAGGAAACAACTGCTGTTTACCTCCGAACAGCAGTGAAAATAAATCCTACAGGTTTGACCTTTATATTGTTGCAGTCATTTGGAGTCATGTCTTGTCATCTTGTATTAAAGGACTGGAGTTCACAATTATGGCCATGACTAAAAATGGGTACAGATTTGATTTTAATTGTCTTTCTGAAAGACTGAATATAACTGATAACTTATATTTATATATAATTACATCTGAAACCAGAGTTCGTGACCAGTTCTTTTATAACCTCTACTAGTTTTCGTTTTGCTGCAAATATACCAGAAACCCAGAAATCTCCCGGTCCTCACTGGCCCCTCGGCCAACAATTTGAGCCACACTGATCTGTTTCAGCAGCTCCTCTGGTTTGAGTACACACTCTTTAGGTCAGCATTTAGGACACAAAGCAGCGGACTTCACTCACAGGCAGATCCACGTTCACATCCGATCCGTCCAGCAGCAGGACGCGGCAGGTGATGGCGGTCCTGGCTGTCCCGGCCGCAGGGATGTGAACCGGCGCTCCCCCGGTGACCACGGCGGGAGCGTGGACAACCTGCTGTTGATGGGCCAGGAGCAGGGGGTTCCCTGACACTCCTCCTCCTGCACCTCCTCCTCCCCCTTTACCGTCCCGCTCGTCCCCTTCTCTGGTCTGGAGTCGAGAGCGGCGGCTGAACGTCCGGCGCAGAAAGCTCATCATCTTCCTGATCCACCGGGCGGGGAAGTCCTCTGGTTTGTGTCCGTTAAGAGTGTTCCACACAGCGGTGAGCCTGTTTCTATTGCGACCGCCTCCTCCACCTTCTCCTCCTCGTCCTCCCTGGGGCGAGGAGTCACTCAGCAGGCACGGCGGAGACTTCAGGGCTGCCGCGCAGTCCTCAGGCTGGATGTCGGCGGCGGCAGCAGCAGCAGAGCGGGGACTCCGGCCGCATACTAATTCAACTCTCAGACGTCCGCTCCTGAGGATCCGCCAACCAGTTGATTTGCGACCAGCGAGTCGGCTGTGTCTCTGTCAAGACAGCGTGACGGAAACACCGCGCTCCCTCCTCCCCCTGTCCTGTCCCTCCGCCGTACACCTGCCTCCGCTCCGCTCGCTGTTGCGCACCGACTCAAAAATCCCGGAGAAATCCCTTCAGACTTCTCCGCAGCAGCGGGAGTGAGTGAGGCGGCTGGGGAAGGGGCAGCTGTCACCTGTGCATACGGAGCCAGAGAACCCCAGATGGTGGTTCCCTGTTAGGAGCGTGGAGCCGAAACTAGTCCTGCTCACAGGTAAAAGTCAACCAGCGAAACTGGACAAACAGCATGGACTGCGCCTGCGTACAAACACAGAAGCTGAACAAACTTCTGTTCTTGCCGACTGGCCAAAAAAGGATCAGGGGAAACAGTGACACCTGTCGACCGCTGAGGGAACTACTGAGATGAAATAACCAAAAATAAGGCATCATGACCGTGGCTGAAAATACCCATGAGCTGTACATTAGTATTGTCACAAGTTAGATCATGGTGTCTCATGTGTTGTTGTAGGTATGGGTATACAGAAGACCCCCCAGTTTTTAATAAATTAAAAAAAAAGAATATATATATGTATCTATATATATATATTCTATTTTTTACTGTACCTTGGGAGTGTATATACTGTATATGCATACACTCCCCAGGTGTCCCAGGTCCTGGGTCTAATCATCAGTACCTTCCTTTTTTCTGCCTGGGAGTCTGGGCCCAATCTGTTCACAGACTGTTTGATGATAGACCAACAGTCTGACCTTTAGCTCTTGAGGGACAGCTTCAAATGAGTTCCAGTATTGCAGCGTAAAAACTGACCCACCCAAATATCTGTCTGCTGGGGAAAAAAATTAAAAATAGAAGATTGTTATTTTTATGCTTTTATTTCAAACATGGACTGTAACTCCACGGCCAGAGTAGTAATTTTGTCTTCCAGCGTGTGTCGTCTTCCTCCAGGTTGTTATTGGCAGACTGGTGTGTTTCAGTCAATCAGAAGATTTAATTTCAGCCTGGTGTCAGCCATTTACCTTTATTCTGAAAAATGTCCTAACAGATACAGCATATTAGTTTCCCCGAGTTGTCGTCCTTCTGTCTTTGTTACCCTTGATAATACATTTTACTCTAGTTCTTGAATTAAACCAGTACTTTCATTTTATTGCTGCCACAGAAAAGACTTTAAACAACTACAGTAATAAAAAAAAACAAAAAAACAAACCAGTAATCTTTATTATGGACCAGTAAAAACAAATGATTAGTTTAAAGTTTTTTTTATTCTAACACTGCCTTCAACACGTGTCTGAGCTGATTTGTGATGCTGAGATAGATTAGTTAATATGATGCCAGCTTCAGAGTCATTCAGCTGAAGGTTAAACAAGCAGATTAGTCCTCGCTACAGTGAGCAGCCTCATTCTGCAGAGAAGTGTGAAAACAAAACAACAACAAAAATAAAAATAATTTTCTCAGATGTTCAGGAGAAATGACGGCTCAGACTCATCAGTATAAATCAAGGTTTATTTAGTGGCTTAATAATTTAAGAGTAATGAACAGTGGGTTTTGGTGCTCCTCCGGTGGACGGCATGCAGTGATGCGCCCCCACCATGACCTTAGAGCAGGTGCTGCGGTGATCTAACGCCCAGTCCTGCTCTGTATCCTTGAAAACAGACAAATTACACTTTACAATGATCCAGCTCCGTCTCTGCTCTACTGTTTGGTCCGCTGACTGGAAGGCATAAGGCACACATCTTAATGAGTAAAGGCGACGCTGCAGAGTGGCCACGAAGACAAAGAGTTAGCAGCGCACTTCAGTGTCCACGAAGGCCACAGTCCATACAAGCTTAACGCACAATCAGCAAAAACTAAGGCTGATGAGGCTTCAAATTCAGACACCCACACTGACTCTGGTTAGGACCGCACACAACTTTATCCTGAAGCTACTGAGGCTCTGGTCCACAGCCCCGGCCCGTGTACCGGTCCACAGACGTAGCTGAGGTTCCACTGAGGTTCTATGACGTTGAGGCTCAAACGGTTACGATTGTCTTTTCTGGTCCGGCTGTAGATTGGTCTTAAGGTGCTGAAGATCCGCCCTGTTTCTCTTTGTAGACGCGCAGGATGGCCTCGCAAACAAACTGGAACTGAGTAATAAACACACAACACACACACACACACACACAAGTGTTTCTGGTTGCACTGACATTTTGAAAGGTTAACACTGAGAACATCACCAAAGTGCAATGAAAAGAACAAAGCAAAAGTCAACTGATCCTAATAACAGGTGCTGTCAGCAGCGGTGACACCTGGGGGATTTCTGCTGCGAGTGTGTGCATGTGTGTGTCTCATTTTTGTGTTGGACATGGTTGTACACACTTCTTGGTCTCAGGTACGTCTACACGTTTGGTTTGTGTTAGTCAGCGTTCCTATTCGCCAAGGGATTTCTAAGAATAAAAAAAAAAATTCAAATCTGTGTATGTATAATAAAAAAAATAAAATGATCAGACATATATAAATATATAAATATGTTTATATATATATATAATTCTAAGTTCTATACTGTTCTCTAACCTTGACTGAACCGAACATGCACAGTGATGTCTCGTAAGAAATTGGTTCATGTTGCAGTGGACTGGTAATGATATTATGAGCATGTGATGAACTAAAGGGCATTGTCTAGAAAAATTCTAGCTAGCATTTTTTTTTCTTTTTCTTCCCATATATTATTGGATATTTTTTAATTTACAAATATTTCAGCACTGACAATTACTTAAAGGTACACTCACTAATGAGTACTTTACACAGCCAGTAAATATTTAACAAAAACTAATAAAATACTAAAAATGTGTACAGTGTATGGATTAAAAATGTATTAACTAACGAACGTGTTGTCAGTCAAGCAGGAGTGAAAGTCCTGACATCAGCATCCGCGCCTCGGAGGTTTGATCCTCCCTCAGATAAACACGTGACTCCTGGGCTGCCATATTCCCAGCATTACCTCCTGTCAAAGCAATGAGTAACACTTTCCTCTCCCTCGACAACTACCACTGAGGCACCACGCAGCACTGCTTCCTTACCCAGCTTGCCTGCTCTGGCTCATTAGCATCAGCCGTCAGTCTAACACGGCGGCGGCCTGCCTGCTTTGAAGTTAATGAAGGTTACACATGACAGGACTCACACAGATGTCAGAGTCTGTCACACTGGCCTTTCACGAGTAAAACAGGGGCACGGTGAACTTTAGGAAGTCACTACGAGAAATTTTTAGACATTTTCCAACGCGCTAACTCATATATTGTCACGGAAAACATTTTGACATCTTAAGTGGCTACGTGTTAAATACAAATGCCATGATTTTAGTGGAATTATTTTTTGTTTCTGTGGGTAAAAATTGAATAAGCACGACTACACACTAAGGTCTAAACTGAACTAAAATTATTCATCTCCATGAATAATCATCTGGATGCCAAAAACACAATCTTGTGTGCCTTGACAGAGCATCAGGCGTACCGGTTATTTAATGCAAATATTCTGTTATCTTTTGTCTACTGTATGTGACAGTGACAGGCAGAAGAGTGAATACTGAATACTCCACAGATAGCTGTTAAACTAAAAAAAGGAAGAGAACTCTTGAGCTCTTGACAAGATCTCCCTGTGTGCCTTTCTTCAATTCCTGCGAGCATGTTGTGTTTAACTAAAGAGGACCAGGTTTTATACTGAATACGTGACTTGAAACCAGAACTCTCCTTACAACAATGGAACTAGTAATACAATTTTATATCCACAGATTTCTAACCTCTGACATCAGTGGAGGTATTTTTGTAAATGAGACACTTGTGACAATACTTATAAAAATTAATAAACTGGAAATGGAGAATAGTAAAAAGACACCGAGTTATGATGTAAATAAAAAAAGTGATTAGGAAAAAGAATAAAATCAAACATCCCAGCAGTGATTCTCAGTACCGTGGTCTGAACCATCATGGCTCGCTGATCTCTTAGTGTTTTGACGATGTCCAGTGGGAACACAGGTCGACCCTCGTCCAGCTGAGTCAGCGCCGTCTCCATAGTGATGAGGACACCTGTCCGTCCAATCCCAGCACTGAGACAAGGATAACGCCATGAACACAAGGTTAATAAAACTGAAGCTATAGAGTGTATAATGACTTGTTCGGTGTGTGTGTGTGTGTGTGTGTGTGTGCGTTACCTGCAGTGTACCATTAATGGCTCTTCACCTCTCCTCCTCTCTCTTACTGAGCTGATGAACATCAGGAAATCTGAGGGGTCATCAGGTACACCGTGGTCCGGCCATGCCACATACTGCAGGTGGGTAACTGCGCGCTCCTCACTCCGCTTCACCAACACAAGTAAACAAAAACACACAAAAACACAAAGAACAGGTCGTTACAAAACATGGGAGGAGCCAATGGCTCTCACAGAAATGACTTTCAGGATAAATTATTTCATTTCTGAGGTCCAGAAAAAACACCCGCACCAGCTTCAACACATTGAAATTCCTAATTTGAAGAGCTCGACAGAATCTACTGATATTGATCCTGGAAATAATCCAATAATTCACCATCACTGTCCATCCAATTAACATTGCTACTGAGGCTCATATTGACCAGAAAGACAACAAGCTGACAAAACCGTTGCCAAAAGTATCGTGACTGATTGTAGACCAATGGAGATAGCGACGTTTTCGTAGTTTCAGATCTAAACCGGTTCTACTAGAAAAACGCCTTCAAACGTTTAAAGCAAAAAATGACTTGAATAGTCTTTCATTTTCTGTTCATTTCATTTTTTTGGATGAGACACAAAAAACACACGTTTCTGTTCCAGCAAATATACAGAAAAAAAATGTCTCGTCATATTTAGATATGCTAATTATTCTGTATTATTCGCAAATAATTGTAATTAATCCACCTGCATTCAATCACATTAAAAACTGTATTTGTTTGATGGCCTCTTAAACACACGGCAGCTTCACTCTCTACAATAATGAGATTCAAGATAAACCGTGTCCTTGTCATCTGTCACCCAGTTGGATCATTCTTAGAGAACCTTAAAAAGAAATTTAATTCCAAATCTTTCTTCACATAAGTCATATTTTCAAACCTAACATAAAATAAGAATGGTGCGTATTTCTCTGGCATTTTAAGCAGGGATTTGTTTATCTATTAGGTTGATTATTGTTGGATTCAAGTTTCTCCACAATGATGAGAAAACATAACAATTATATCAACAATACGATTTTAGAAAACATTATCCTCATAATGAGCTCAAAGGCCCCCAGGGCTTTGACAAAGGTATTAGTCAGTGAACCGCACAGGCTGTTATGGAAACAAAGACGAGGGGACGAGAACCAAAGTGGGTGACAACGAGGTTGGGAAGTGAGGAGGGACACGTGAGAGAGGGGGAGACGGAGAAGAAAAGTCCTCAGTTGAGGGTTAAATAAAAATCCAGGAGCTGGTCTGAGTCCAGAGAGTTAGATGGGCATGAAGCCTGTGACTCCACGCAGGGATTTACGTTTGCCACCAGAGGAACAGATGGACTCACGCAGCAGTCCCTGTGTGTCTGTGTGTGTGTGTGTGTGTGTGTGTGTGTGTGAGCATTATCTATTCAGTCACTCGGGCTCTGTTTATGTGAAGTAATCACATTGTTTGTTTTTTTTTCTAAACTAGTTCAGGTGAACTTCTCAGGAAGCCCTGTGTGTCAGACCACACACCTGCAGTACACACCCACAGTGAAACAACAAGTACTGGTACTGTTCAACGTGTCCAGTCATGCACACAGGTCAAGCCACCCACACGGAAGTCCCTGCATTTCTGCTGCTCTAAGTTTGCCAGGAGTGACAGCTGCCTGCAGCGGACTCTGCCGTACGACATATGGCACAAACATGGAACATGCTACAAACATGCAGACAGACAGGGTCAGAGTAGAACTGTGGTCAGAGGCTGATGTGATTGGATGATAGATGTGTGGCTCGTAGTGAGAATGATGACAAAAACACCAATTATGTATTTTTAAAATATCACAGCTGAGACTTATAAACAAACCAATACCTATACCAATGTCATTTTCTTTCATTTTGAGTTTAGAAAAAATATTTTTGAGGTTGAATGTTTGCCACATCTTAACCTGGAGAAACCAAAAATAATAATATTTAGCAGAAAATAGACCATAAACCATGGTCACTGATGAGCACATCAGTAATTTTAAACAATTCCCAATGTGTGATGTAAGAGCTTGGAAATACTGTATGTTGTTTTAACATTTGTTAACATTTATATGTTTTAACAAAATACAATCTTTGATAGAAATACAATTTGGAGAGTTATTTGATGCTTGGCCACAAATCCTACAGAAAAGGAAAATTAAAAAAAAAAAAAAAGGAAGTGATTCCTGGACAAAGACTGGACTAAAAATAAATAACTGAGGTATTGATTGATGATTAGTAGATAATGTCATATTTTTAATCATAATTCTAACAGTAAATAACTGCCCCCCCCCATTGATGATTAGTAGATAATGTCATATTTCTAATCATAATTCTAACAGTAAATAACCCCCTTCCCCCCGTCTCCTGAGAAGTCGACAGACTGTAGTAACACTGACTGTACCTGTGTGTTGGTCAGTGTGAACTGTCGTATCACATATGCCAGGTTACACTCCTCTGAGTGACACTTCACTCGCATGTGGCCGTAGTCCTTCACTTCGGGGGGGTGAGGCCAGTACTGGTGACACTTGGTCTGGAAAAGTGGATGACATCACCGACAAATTAGATCATCTCACAGGGAGAGTGTGTGCGTGTGTGTGTGTGTGTGTGAGTCATCAGTCAGGGACAAAGGTATTAGTGCGGCTGCATCAGGTAGGTGTGTGTGTGTGTGTGTGTGCGCCACTCTAATACAATCAAAATCTGTCTGATTTGTTGTTTAACCTCGCAGTCTGGCGAAGCAAAGCAATTCATCAGTGGAACGCAGACTCTGCACCTGCGCGGCTGATTGTTCCTCAAGTAGTGAGAAACTTGGGTGCACTCGATGAATGTCAAGGAAAATTTCCTTTTAATGAAAGCATCTGGTTACCAAGCAACAGGCAAGCCAAGGCAGAGCCGTGGTCTATGACAGCCGCCGGAGAGTGGCTGTACATGTGACTCCAGCATCCAGTTATTTACCACTGACAGCTCGTCCATTTGTGCACATGGTGAAACCCAGTAATTACTGGCATCTGTGGCAACTGATTAATTTCGTCCGCAAACATCAGCACAGAACCTGTTAATTACTGTGATCATGTAAATGAGACGTAAAGCAGTGTGTGGCTGTGAGTCTGAGTCACTTAGAGCTCCCCCTACTGTTGATGCTTTACCACCTTTGTGTTTATATATATGTGTGTACATATACATATACACTGTATATATGTATATATATAGTCACAGCCAGCATATAATTACACATATATCTGTATATATGTATACATATATGTCCATTTAAACACACATATATATATATATACTGTTTATATACACACACACATACACATCTGATAGTCCTCGGATATTTTTCTCTGACCAATCTAAGGCCCCTCGTGCAAACTTTGGACACCCCCTGAATGAGCCCCATGAATGTATGTATAAGGTTCTTTACCCGTCCTCTCTCCGTCAGCGTTGTTAGCATGATGATGGTGTGCACCTGCTGCTCCCACACAGTCTGCCAAAAGTGAGTGCAGGTCTGTGGCAGCGGGCCCTGAGCAGCGACATAACGCAAACAAACACCAGACACTGGCGACGCCACCTAAGGGACAGATAAATGAGCAAATACACAGAACACGAATTTGCAATTGTGACAATCAGCGAGCGAGAGGAGCGACACGGCTGTCTGTGATGACACTCACCGTGATGTGGCTGGCGTTGATGTAGTCCTCCTGGCCCTGCAGCACCACTCTGGTGGAATCATCTGAAAGATGAGCAGGAAAACAGGGCGTGGGGTCACAACACAGTCGTCCGCACACACAGCACACTGAGGCATTTGAATTTAATAAGGGTAAAAAAAGAGAAGCACTGAGAATCAAAATAAACAACACTTACAGGGTAAAACGTCTCGGTATCGATTCTTGTCGATGTTCTCAGAAAGTCGAGCGCAGTTCAGCGACAAACCAGGCTTCCTCCTGTATAAATTCTAATATAGAACACGAGAGCAGACAAGAACAACGATATAGATATTAACACACAAACTGTCACTAACAGGTGGGAAATTCCATGTGAATGTTAGGCTCAATATTGCCTAAAAAAACAGCCTTTTACATGATCAGTTTGGCCAGAAACAATAGCATCATTTTCTACGTCAGGACAAATCTAATGCAGTTTTTTAGGGTTAGCCTAGTCGCTGCTGCTGCTGCTTCATTCAAAACACCTCAAAGTGGAAACACAGGGTGCCAGACTGCACTCCTCTCTCTAGCTGCCTCATTGATTCCTCCAGTGTCGTGACCCGCTCCAGCTGGCCAGGAGATGGCAGTTTGTCCGCCTGTGATTGGCTGGAGATCGTGAGGGTGGGAGGGATCTGCAGCAGGGGGAGCACTTTTCCAGGACCTGTAATACAAGGGCGGCATTAAAATGCATAGGAACATGACAAGACACAGAGTGAACTCTTCAGTGCTGCTTCAGCACTTGTCTCCTCTCTCTCTCTGTCTCACTGTCTCTCTCTCTCTCTCTCACCTTTACGCCTGATAAGCAAGGCCAGCTCTCTGGAGTGTGACTCTCTGCTCGCTTTTATGAACATGACAACCTGGTCATGTGTGTGTTCAGAAATGTCTCGACCATTGATGAGGACAACCAGGTCTCCCTCCTGGAGTTTCGGCTCACATCGGCCCGCCTGGAAGACAGCACAGAAGCTTCAACTAGGATTCAAACTAACAACGTCAGTAACATTAGAGACACAGACAGGACCAGAGACAGACAACTACTGTAGGTTTAGGTCAAATGAAAAAACATATTTTTATGAAGGCTGTGTTTGAGAAGCACAAGGAAAGGAAAGATTAGAGCCTTCATTTTTTTTGGTTCAAATTCTAATGTCTAATCCTAATTTCATGTTCTCTCTAAGAATCTAAAATAAATAATTGAAATGAGACAAAGAAGAACTTAATTTTAATTAATTCTGTTTTGTTTGTTTTGTCTACCTGAGATCTTTAAAAAGTCCAGATATTCAGATCAATATGTTTTCTGAATAATATTTAGTTTTCAGAAAACCAACCATGAGTAGTTTATTAACCTTAAAAAATATTGACGGCACAGCTTCCAAATTCAGAAATCAGAATGGCCCCGGTTCAGTTAGTGGCATTAAATACCGAGATATAAAAGCATTGCATGTTAAAGTACAATAGTCTATTTATTATAAATATCTATCTATATAAATATAATGTAATTGTTAACAGTTTGTTTTGTTTGTTTGTTATCTTAAAAAAATCAAATTAAATCTTCAAAACAGACATGTTTTCTTACCGGAGAGTCAGGTTTAATGTGGGATATGGCGAGAGGCATTTTCTGATCCACCCCACCCTGAGAGTGTGTGTAGGATACAGAGAGGAGAGTGAACCACAACACAAAAGCAACACATGTTTTTCTTTACACCAACAGCTGGGCTTGGCATTTGTCAAACAGTGACATAAGAAAACGCAGCAGACGTCATGTGACCAACAGCAGGACAGACACCTACTTTGACGTTGAAGCCAAACTTGCCCTCGTGGTCAGGGGCAATACAGATCAGCATCAAGTCTCCGTCACCCAGAGTTCCCTGCACAGACGTGGGTGATGTCCAGTGGAAACAGGCAGACACACACATCGAAGGATGAAAGAAACCGAACACACCTTGTCGTTGGGTAAACTCTCCTCCTCACCAATGCTGTCGTCAGCCTGTAAAAAAGCCTCGTCTGGACCCTGGTGACCAGTGCTGGAAATAAGCAAAGAGTGAAATGATTTTTTTCTCATTTTGAAATGCCAAACTTTAATTTCCATAATTCTGCTCTCAGTTTCTGCCACCACTTCACCACTGACTCCCCTCTCCTCTCATCCTTTGAATTATTCACTTCTTCAAAGACAATTGACAATAATATTCATTTTTTATCTTCCAACCAATTTCCACCCTGTCAGGATCACTAAGGACCCCAGCAGGCGAGGACAGGCTTCACCCCGGACCAGTCCACCCCAGATCCACACTCACATTCACACCTACAGTCAATTTAGAGTGAATAATTAACCTAATCAATTATTTTAACCCTTGGGAAAAAACTACGGTCAATTTAGAGTGAATAATTAAGCTAATCAATTTTATTTTAACCCATGTAGAGAAAATACATCGGCTTGAACTAACCAAAAACAGTCATCTCCTTCCTGTAAGGTAGTGATTACCAACTGATGGCTCATGGGCTGATTACAGCCCACCGAAATGTCCAACGCGGCCCAAAATAAACATCAAATATTAACGTTGAATTTGGACATTTTGAACGTCCGGCCCCTAAGGTGTCTGTCCAGAAAAAAATTCTTCTTCTTCTGACAACTGTAGTTGGTGACCCCTGCTGGAAGGCCCACTGACTATAACAGACCTGTCATATTATGTCTTAATCTTATTTCTTACTGACTACAGCCATCGTTTTGAACACTTCTGTGGGTCACTTGATTTTTAACATTACGGTATCTAAAATATAATAAATAAAAACATACATCCTGATAGCTTAACCAGGTGAACTGAGGCAGTAACAATGGAGGGTGAGGATCTGTATCAGGCACTAACTGATGTGGTGATGGGTCTCCGTCGCTGTCCCTGCTGCTGCCCACAGACGCCCTGTAGGTATAGAAGACGTCCTCTCCTTCAGACATGTCCTTCAGATCACTGGTCAGCTCCACAGAGGACGGACGCGCCCTGCGGATGCCGTGGCGAACACGAGGACTTCGCCTGACGGAGAGACGAGGGAACCATTTTTACAAACCAGCATTTCTGCAGGTTTTTTGTTTCAACTTTTATGTTGATTTGGTGAAACAGTTAAAAAAAATTGTCAATTTTTTTACAAACGTAAACACTGGGAGGATGAAGGTTTTTACAGAGTCACAGCTGCGGGCCGTACCAGTTTGGAGTGCTTGGCGGCGACCTGGAGGGCAAACTCTTCGTCTCCAGACACTCTGAGGAAATGGACCTGCGCAGGACTGGGTTCCACACCATTCCTCCAACCACCCGCTGACAAACAGGACCACTGGGGGCAGAAATGGTCAAAGATGACTCGAACTTCTTAAAAGAATTAATGAGAGCGTCTGGTTTCCAGGCTCACCTCTCATTTTTGGTGTGACCCAGACCCAGGTGCTGTGTGATCAACTTGGTGTAGGAATGAATTGTGCTGTTGTTGTGTTTGGGGCTCCTGGCACTTCGGTTGGAGCAGAAGAAGGAGTGATGATCGACACACGACCTCCACAGGTTTTTACAGGTTTTGGGACAAGGCAGAATCATAGACATTTCACAGTCCTGAGTCTCACCCTGAAGGAGGAGGAGCAAGAACACAAACAAAATCGATCCTTGGTTAAATTCTATTATTTTGTGCCTCTTCATAGTATGAAGTAATAAGATATAGTAAGCTGTCAGGAGGTAAACGGATCAGGCCTAAGTGAAAAAAGACTCAATTTAATAAAAAGCCTAAAATGTTTTATTTTGTCTATAACAAACACAAGTTCATGACAGGTTTTTAAGAAGCTCATGTGAGGTTAGGTCAGGTTTTAGCTCAGGTTTTTAGAACACTGGAGCAGTTGGAAAATATATCAAAAGAGGCTTTTGTTAAAGTGACAGCATCTGGCAGCCATGTTTGTGTGAGACTGGTGTGTGGACACATTGTTATTCCCTCAGGTTAAAATACTGTGAATGTGTTTCATTTTCATAAACAGCCAGGTCGACAGACTTTGCAAAGCAGGTGTTTTTTTTTTTTTTTAGATCATTAGATCCGACGCGCATCAGTGGGAACACAGAAAGTCAGACGAAGACTTTTATTTTTTACACAACCTTATCTGTAACTAATCACACTGAAGGTATTTGCAGCAAAACCTCCCAGGTCAGCAGTCGAAATTTGAAATTTATGTGAGGATTAAGTAAAAGTAGGAGATTTACAATTAATAACGACTCTTTAAAGGAGTATATTTGTTTTTTTTTCATATGATAATGAGTGACACACTGGGTTATCAGAAAGTGTCTTAAGTAGGGATGTCCCATATTAATTTTTTGCCGATATCGCTATATGCAGATATTCATTTAATTTCCAATTCCGATATCAACTGATACCGATATCGTATCGTAATATGTATTCTTTTGTCTGTACAAACCACTGTGTGAGTTGCTGGCACCAGCATTCTGCATACACTCCTTATTATTAAATCATCAATCAGCTGCAATGCTGCCATCTAGTGACTGTAACTTTAATATACAGCCGTTTATCTCCAAATTATTTTTAGGGCACATATCTTTTAGTGAAACTCAAGCGTTGTTATTGGGTTTTCATTACCTGAGGAAAAACCAATAACAAAACAAATGTCAGACGGAGCTGAGATTCAACTTTAAATACTCATAAATTCAACCAATGTATTTACTCTTTAATAATAATAATATTCTTGGTGGAGAAAACAAGTTCTATCAGTGTTTTTTTTTTTTTTTTTGCTTAATCAAACTTCCAATAACACCGCTTGTCTCTTTAAGCTGCACAGACTGCACTGTCATTGGCCGACTGCTGTGTTTTAATGAAATATTTGCTGCTTTGAGCTCAGTTTTTATCAGAAGTGTTGACGTGAATCTCCACCTTCTAATATGAACGGACAGGAGCTGCCAACAGGTTCTCAGCTGAGAGAGCGGACAAACCAGAGTGACTCACGTGTTTCCTCTTCAGATGAATTATAAAGCGCTTCCTTTTGAACGAAATCTTGATTATATTCCCCCTACACAAGGAGAGAGGCGTTAGAGGACGAGACGAGTGAAGGGGCCGATGTTTATTGGGCGGCAGTTTCACTCACCAGGGGAAGAAACTGGAGCAAATCATATTACAGAATATGGCAACACCACTGGAGGCCAAGCCCACCATTAGAGGAGCGTTGTTGATGTCCTGGGAGGGAGGAGGGTGGGAAGGAGGAGAGGGAGAAAGAAGGGAGAGGGAGAGAGAGAGAGGTAGAGAGACCTCCATCAGACATGGCTGAAACAACATGCTGATAACAGTGTGTGACAGTGTGTGTCATAAAGACCGGCACCATGGCAGCGTGCAGCTCCACTCCGTACAGCTCCAGCGTCCGTGCCGTGTTGAGGAAACACAGCTCGGCGTCGCTCTGCTTCAGCCCCCTGGGAACACAGCAACACACTCACAGTCACATGGTAAAACAGGAACCAGCTGCACCGCAGTCAAACCAGTCACTTTGCATGCTGCAACTCCACACTGGACAGCACTGTGAATTACTTGTGCTGCGGGTGGAGGTCCTCCACTTTACTAATGAAGTCCTCATCCTGGTTCGGGATAAAGTGGCACTTCGAGAGGTAACCAGGTTGTCGGGAAGGACAGTGGTCGCCCTGCTCCGCTGGTGGGAGGAGAGAAAGTCAACAATCACTGACAGGAAATAACGCAGAACAAAGCACAAATGTGGTTTTTTTGTTCTTTGTATTTTGTTTTCATCGTCAGACAGTAAAATTATCAGAAGAACAAACAGTGGCATTTTGACTAACATTAAGTTACAAATCTGCATCTACCTGTAGCACTGATTAGCATTTAAGCTACACATCTGGATTACTTGAAGCTACACTGATGCCACCTGTTCATATCCATGGGTCTTTTATTTGAATTATCTTTTACCAACTTGGCTAACCATGAACTATCTTTATTTTAGACCAGCTTTCAATTTCACTTTTGTTAACATATTTTGACTCAACTTCTGTTTATCGTGTGTGAAGTGAAATTCAAAAAAGAACTGTTCTTTTTTTTCTTCCTGCCTAACTTTGAATGATCTTTTGTCCAATTTAACTGGAGACATTTTGGACATTTTGGAGAGGTAGTCCTATCTAAACCAGGGGAGGGTTGAGGGGGTGGCGGGGGGCTGGGGGGGTGGCACTGCAGAACAAGTGTGGGAACCAGTGCTGTTCAGAGGAGGTGACTTACATTGGACAGCATAAGAGGCCAAGACAACTGCTGGGCTGAGTGGACACTGCAACCTGCGAACACACTGTTATGTGTTATTCAAGAACAGGATGAAGAAGAAAAGGACAAAATCAGAGCAGTCTGTGCTTCACGGTTACTGACCGTCCTTCTCTGATGTCACTCCTGATCTGGAGGAAGTAAAGGTGTCTGCAGAGATGGAAACAAAAAAAAACTGTCTTCAGCCTCCAGTCATGCAGAAACACAAGTGATTTGACATGTAAGTGATGGAGTGGCACAGTTCAGTAGCTTCATGTCCTGAATCGATCGTGCGTGCAGTGAACTACAGCAGTCACTGATGTTTTCATCCATTGAATCTCTGTTGAAACGTCACTGTATTTGCCACAAACACTGGTTTACGCTCTGCTCTGCATTCATCTGCTCAGACATTGATGCCTCGATTACATGTACACAGGATATTAAACGATATAAATGGGAAATTTGGATTCAGCTGAATCACCAAATAGTCAAAACAGGAATGCGTCGATCAAAGACAGGAACAAAAACTCTCTTCAAATGTCAGCAGTGATGAAGCTCCCTTACACACAAGCAGTGTGGTGTCATTTAGTCATGGTCGTAAACGAGAACAAACTAAACAGCGTTTTAAAAACAAAGTGCGTTGTTAACGTTGTAGAAACACAAAAACAGAGACACAACATTAATCTTTCAGCTTTATCTGCCACAGCATCTGTTACGGTTTGATTCCTGTGTTTTCCCCTGGTTGGACTCAGTTATTGACATTACAATCACGATATAAAAAGAGTGCAGGACAGAAACAGAGCCAATCACCTCGTTTGTTCGTGCTGCAAAGAGTTGGGATCAGAGATGAAGAATCGAACTCTGAAGTTCAGGTAAAAGGGAGACACCAGACCTGTAGGAAGACACCGCATCAGCATTGAAATAATCTGTTCGTTCACACTTGTCACTAAAATATATTAGATGTATTTTGGTTACTTGAAAAAACACATATTTGTAATAAAAATTAAAAAAATATAATGTTTTATATGTTTGAGAAAATATATATATATATATATAATTATGTATTTGGTAAAACAATTTTGCTTTGTAAATATAAATTTAAATATATATTTTTAAAATATATTTCAAATATATATGCACATATATACATATAAATATATTATATATATATATATTTATTTCTCAAAAATAAATGAATGTTTTGAGAAATATATATACATATATGTATATCTATATATTTATACATATATGTATATTTAAGCACCTTTTCTTAAAAGTAAAACTTAAAGTAACATCATCTTATTGTTAATTCAAGTCCTGTCAAATATAAAAAGCACAGATTATCTGTGAAGAAACTCCTCCTCATTTTCATCTGTCTAAAACTGAGCATAAAAGAAAACATAAACCACTGGCAGTAAAAGAGTGTGCAGACATTTACCTTTGATTTGTTTCTTCAGTGGTTTTTCAAGCTCCAACCATCGCTGACAGAAAGAGAGAGAACATTTCATTTAGTGTAACTCTAAATAAACTGAACTAAATAAAAGCACTGATGTGACAGAGGGCTGTGGTTATTATGGACTGAACAAGTCTCAGTGGGAGCAGCATGTTCTCAAACTCAGCCCAGTCAGATGTGCAGCAGAGGAGGAGTGAGCTCACAGGAGAGTGAGTGTTGGCAGTGATGGAGGTGATGGCCGTGCTGGTTTCTCTGATCTGCAGACTGAACAGCTGCCTCTCCTGCAGGCCCACGTGGTCACACACTCGGTCCAACAGAACCACACCTTCATCCTGTTTCTGTAGAACACAAACAATAAACAGCATCAGCACCGGATATAGAACGTTATAGCTGCAAACAAAAACAAAAAAACAGCAGTGATAATACAGGGCTACTAATAAACACAGACACCGTCATTTCAAGTAAACACTGGACTTCCTGCATCGCTGCAAACCTGGAGATAATTTGGATTTTTGTCTTTTTTTTCCTCTAGGTTTCAATTTCAAATGTGGTGCTTTTTTCAGTTCTGCATCACAAAAATGAATTAAAATGAAATGAAAGTTTTACATTTTGTAAAGTTAGTAGCATTTTGGTAACAACATCATTATCATTTTCAATTGTCCAGACGTTTTTAAGCACTGATAACATTTTTTTTTTTTTAAGTTTTGGTAAAATGTGAAGTGAGAGTTGAGCCATCTGTTCACTTTTTATGCAAATGTTGTGTCTGTTTCAAGGACAAATATGGTCCAGAATATTGTGCATAAAAACCTCAGTGGTAGTGCATTCTTAAAAAGTACTCTAGCATGGGGAGGGGAATTTCCCAGTAATGCTTTGCGGTTTGTCGGAATGTAGCATCGTGAGTTCACACGGTAGCAACTTTTCTGAATCCGTGAAGTATGCAAGAAACAGGCTAACTTATTTTTTTAACTTTAATATTGTCTAACGCGGTAACATTTTCAGTAACATTTGCATTTATTTCTCTCCATATTCATTTGTTTTTTATTGGTAACATTTTCAGTAACATTTGCATTTCTTTCTGTGCATATTCACAAGTTTTTTATGCTTTTTTTTACTGTAATTCTGAGAAACTCAAATAATGTGACGACATTTTTTTCCAAACACGTTTTGCTACTTTTTGGATAACTGGCTTGTTAAGTGAACCCTGTTAGTCAGACAGAAAATTGACCTTGTTTTTCCAAGGTGTTTAACATGCCTTAAATATTCAAGTAGTTTTTCTAAATTTTAAAAGAAAGAATACCAAAAAAAAAACCCTGCAAATGAATAAGAATAAAATTGTCTTTCATCAACTGAATAATTGCAACATTTCATTAAAAAGCTGACTTTCATAAAAACAATTCTGAATCAAGATTTCATCCATTTATGTTAAATATTCTGCTTAAAATGTATTGCCGGGTATGAAAATATGTAGTGCTTATGTAATATAAGAATTTGTATATCTGTGCATACTGTGGGGTTGATATGTACATATTATGTATATGTGTACATATTGTAGTGTTATATTATGGTAATTTAATGTATACCATGTGATTTTTCTTTATTTCTAGAGGTCAAATACTGGAGCTAATCTATTTGTTCCTTTAGGATAAAGTCTCTCATCCTGAGTCTGTGCTTTGCAGGAGGTGAGTTTGTCCTTCAGTGCAAGGTCAACGTGTGGAGCTGAGATGATGAGATGATATGGATCAATGTGAAAAGGAAAGAATAGTACGTCACTTCATCACGCACTGACGTTAGGATCGTTAGCACAAGTGGAACCAAATGAAAACAACATATGATCTCCTCCACAGCAGACAGGAAACTCTGTGTGAGACGGCCAGTGTGTGTTACCAGCGTGTGTGTGTGTGTGTGTGTGTTACGCACGCTGACTGTAAAGGTCTCGATGGTGCCGTTCAACAGCTGAACCAGGCAGAGCAGGTCCGGTTTTGGCATGTCTGTTACAACGGTGGTTACCGTGCCTCCCTCTCACGACAACAGACCTGCCCTGAGGGGGGACCTGTTCACACACACACACACACACAAACAGAGAAACAGTGACACATGTTTGAGCCCAGCTTAATCCCAATGAAAGCAACTCCCTCAAGATGACAGTACTGGGTGAATAATATGTGTCCTCTATGAGCACTGGGCTTCAGTGAGTAATGCTGCATGAATGCAAAGGAGTGACTCCGTGTGTGTGTGTGTGTGTGTGTGTGATACATTATTTCTCGGCCTGGTCTGAACATGTCCCTTCCCTCTCCCTGCTGCTCACCCTCTGCATCTCTCCGCCTTTTTCAGGCAGCTGAATGATAAGAATGTTAAACATTTTCAGAAATGAAACCGCCCCGTTTTCAGCTCTGCAACTGATCCTCCAGACAAACTTCGTGAAGCGCGTCATGCACACAAACACACACACACATGCACCACCTAATGTATGCATGCATGCATGGACGCGCCTGCGGTGGAAATGTCAGTGTTTGAGTGTTTGTCAGTGTATTTCCTCCTTGTTTTATTTGAATGACTGTATAGACCTGTTTGTGAGGCAGCATCTGATTCCTGAAACTGATTGAAGATGTGGTGAAGATACAGGAGGAACTCTGCTTTTCACTTTAAAAAACAAACAAACAAACAAAAAACAACATTCCTCTGAGGCTCTGCTTTAACTGGGTAGAGTTTTTCAAAACTCTAGAATATTTTCAAAACAGAGATAGAACTTGACTAATCCCTTGGAGAGCCCTCCCCCCCCCCGCCCCCCCTCGGAAATCAAAGGTTGTCCAAGAAGGTGTGTTATAATTTTACTATGAACTTTGAACTTTGTTGTTTAGTAATTGGTCAACTCGTAATATGATCTAAAGACAAAGGTAGGAGCGTATTTCAGTTAAATAATAAATGTTTGCCCACTGTTTGTCTGTAAGGAGGTAACATTCAGGGTTATTATTATTATTTTTTAATTATTATTTGACTTCATCATATTATTTAATTATAAGAAAAACTCTGTTAAAGAAATAAAAAAAAACCTGACTAATCACCATTTAAATAATATTAATTTTATGTGTCCATGCAGATCTCTCTGCAAGTGTGTGTGTGTGTGTGTACATACATGTGTGCTGTGTTGCTATCCAGGTGAAAGATTAATGGAGGCCAGCCAGTCTGTCTTTTTCCCTGTCTCTGAAAGAACACACACACACATAGTTTGAGTTAATGTTTAAACACAGTGACACACTCTGAATGCATTAAACCCGAGCTTCTCTCTCTCTCTCTCTCACTCTCTCTCTCTCTCCTCCATAATAACCAACTTCTCTCTCACCGCCAAGCGGCTGATGAATTCACAGGGAAATGCTACATGTAGAGACGGCGTCAGTGTGAGGTGGAGGGTGGAGGCGAACATTGTCATCATGATGCTGCTGCTGCTGCTGCTGCTACCGACCACGGTGACGACTGTAGTGACTGTGTGTGGGACAAGTGTCACATGAGGAAACAGGAGTAAACTACCTCTTTCTTGTCAAGACTCGTTCGGGGACTGGTGTTTCTGTCATAGCAGAAATCAGTGCAGTTCAACGAGGAAAACACTAATAAAGAGTGGAGGGTAAATAAATCCACCAACAAGTGTTGTTGTAATGAATAACTGGCTCGTGTGTGTTTATGGGTGAGTGTATCAGGCCCACAGGGACAGTCTCGGCCCGTGGAAAATCAACCGTGCTGTGATTTAGCTGCACTTTGAGCCAATATGTGTCAGCGGGAACCTGTTGGCAGGCTGGAGTTCACACAGTTACACCCACAGACGGAGCCTCACACACGGCCGAACTTCTCCCCAAGCGCGGTGCTCCTCTTTAAAAACCACAACTTCCCAAACTGTTTGTTCTCTCTTTTTTGTCCTCTCTCTATGGCGATAAGACAGTTTGAATTATTAAAATGCGACTCTACCTTCACAGGCGGCTCATGTTCCTTTGGCCGTTGCCTTCGCTTAGGACTCTGCGCGGCCCCGCCCCTACGCCACCGAGCGCGCCCCCGACTGAGTGCGCGGTCCCGTTGGAGTACGCGCCGAATGGCCCGAGCACGAGGTTTGTATTCTATTCTGTAAATATAACTTTTTGTTAAAAAGAATATATTTTATAAGAAAAAATCATAATAGTAAAATTGACTGATTATGAACAATAGACTATAAAGAAGAATAACAATAAGTGTACGAAGGAAATAGTCGAATAACTCAGACACCTTTTTAAAAACGTTCTTTATATTATAAATGAGTGTGTGTATTACATATTTGTGTTGTGTAAATGTCAATATAAACAGGGTCAGATTGTCCTTTCCCCCATATGAAGAATATTAATACAAGACGATAATTTTGACTGGTTCTATTGCTCTGGGTTGTCGCCATCTACCGGACACATCAGGTACTACTACTGTCATGTGAACTTGCATTTCATCTTCACCGAAAATGCACTTGATGCACTTAATAACTGCCGTTGCTGAAGTGCCAACAAAATATCAGTTAATTTATTTATAAAATGTATGTTACGTACCTGTTAAAGATGAGGGCATACTTTCCACAACAGATCTTTTTAGATTGATTTCGGTTTGTTATTTTGTGTTTAGACTACAATAACCCAGTGCACACCTTTGGATTATTTCATTAGGTTACAATGACTGATGTTTTTTTAATTCATCCTTTGTGTTTTAATAAATATTCCACTACCATTTTCCTGTAATGCTGTTTTATTTATTTATTTTTAGGTGTGATTTGAAATAGTTTTGCTCTTTACATGGATTTTCTTATACATTTACTCATTTACACATTTACAATATTTACTAAGTACTTACTTAATGCTAAGTTTTTAAAATTTTAAAACTGCATGTTGACTTATGGAAATAGGATATGTTGTGACAAATAAGCTGTTTGACCTCAATGGGTTTCTGGATGAGAGCCTTCACAAACCCAACCACATGTTTTTGACTGGCCTGGTGACTACATGGTAAACCTGTAGAAATTATGCATTTTCTTTCTTGAATTTTATTTGCATATTTTAAATAAAGTCAAGTTAACCCAATATATTACTAAGACAAACTAAACACTACACACACACAACCAGCATCAACCAGTTTACATGACACATATGACACAAGAGGTTGTGGCCTGGAGGCAGCTGGTCAGACCAGCAGAGACCAGTTCCCATTGGAAAACCAAACCTACAACCACTGTGTCGAGAGAGCGGAACCTCCTCCTGTCGTTGCCAGAATATCAGCTTTCTGCAAGTGTAACCAAAACACCCTGTACCACCGGCTCTAGCCTGGACTTAGCAGCTCCAAATATAGGCACATGACAGACAGGCAACTCTGACATGAATGCAGTTTATGCACATCCTGCATTTCTGGTCCAATTAACACGATTAGCAATGTTTCGTTCTGATGGCATCAAATTCAACCTCCTCAAACATGTCTGGAACTCTGCTTCTAATCATAAAGAATCTGTGTGAAACAAATACATTTTAATATCGGTTTATTAAAAACTCATACCACACTTTAGTCTTTCCTTAATTGGTATTAAAAACTCATACCACACTTTAGTCCTTCCTTAATTGGGTCAAAGTAAAATAGGTTTTTTAATTAGTACATTTATCATCTCTCCCTCTCTATTAACAATGAATCTTGATTTTCTTTATTTCTCTATATATTTCATATTAACTTTTTTTTTAAAATTAAGATTTCGTGTTAGATTAGGTTTCAGTGTTAACCCTTAACTGTAGTGTATCATTTACAGTAAAAAACACTGAGTCACTAAAGTGGAATAAGAAGTGGTGCAGGTGACTGGTTATAAATCTCAGCCATAAAATTGGGTCTGCGATGGTGTGGACAGGCCGTGCCGCTTCCCAGGAGTCCAGACGGAAAGATGTATAGAGTTGCCTTATGGTGGACCGCTGTCCTGTTTCCATGACCCATTAACTGTAGTTTAAGAATAATGTATGTGGCAAATCCTGTTTAAAAGAATAATATTCTGTATGTATTTGTTCTTCAATCAGTAAATACAACATGCACTATTATGGCATCGTCACCCATCTTTTTACTTGGTCCACAACCAGGATGTATTTACTGGCCTTCATTAGACACAGCTTGTCATGTTGGACCAAAGTTGGACCTTGTGGTGTTTTAACTGTAGACCTTGTCTGGTCCACAGTTGTGACCGTGTGCTGACCACTCTGTGTTAAACCAAAGCTGGCCCTCAGCTGACCCTGACCTTAGATCACTGTAGGCCACAGTTCTGTAGGGCCCCTCTTCTACCCCTATGTTGAACCAAAGCTTACCCTCCTCGTGTCCTATGTCATTTAGCTTAGGACTAGCTCCTAAATGCCTGACAAAATCAAAGCTGGACTTTGGCTTGATAAAAGCTGTCCTATTTTAACCCTGATGTGCTGAATTAATTACTGGTCCTAAGTCCTTTACTAGTCATGTTCAGTCAAATGTAAGACCAAATCATTGCCTTCTTCTGATAGAGATTTGGACCAAAATCTGACCCTTTCTGTGCCGTAATGTTGGAGAGAAGCTAGCTCTCCTTTAGCTCAATGGCTAGAGACAATGTGTGAGGTCCAAAAGATTTAAAACAATTGGACCAAAAGGATTGGACATGTAAGGACTTGACCTTAGTATCTTATAAATGTACCTCCATTGACATTTGTATGCATATATGGTAGATGGACTTACACTTAACACGTTGCGTAAGTGATGCCATCGCAGACAGACTTACTGGTAGTTCCCAGTCCTCCTTCTGCACCACCTGTGACTGGAATATGTGAGTAGAAATCCACACCCGTCATATTGAGACTTGGAGAAACAGACGGACAGATTGGAGGGTGTGTTACAAAGTCATAAACTGGGTCACTATGTCGACAGGCATGAACTCACTGTGGTGATATTCTATTGCCACCGGTTACTCTCTTGGTGTGTTATATCACTGTGCAAAACCTACTTATACATATACACTTCTGGATACATTAAAACTATACTCATTTGTAGAATTGTCTTGTGTCTCAGGTCTCTAACATTTTAAAAAACTGTACAAAAATATTATCTTAAGTTTATGTTTTAACTGCAATAAAATAAAAATTATTTGAAGTCACACATTTTAATGACTGTCACTGTCTACGTGTATTTATTAGTTTATTTTATCTCTTGTACATAGTCACTTTGTTTAAATATTATTAACATGTTTTGTAAATACTTAAACTATTTTTTCAACTTACTTGACCAGTGGAGATTTTAGAGATAAATCTCTTAAAACTAGCCTACAGGGTATGCGTTACAGCTTAGCAAAATATTTCTCACCACACCAACTATGATCAAAATTAGGTGCATTAATTTGACATATCTGAAACACACGGTATGTTTTATAAAGAAACTAAAGCGAAGACTACATAATTACCACTAATACAACAGTATTTGCTTTTTTCCCCCTCAAAACTAAATAAAAAACTGCGCTGAGTATCATTTCCGCGGTTAGCATTTAAAAAAAAGTAAACTCTAACTCTGGACTCACATGCTAACGTTCAACCCACGTGTTGACGTTGTTATTTTATTTTTCCGAGGGCACATGAACGCATCACGGTGAGTGACGTACGCCACAATTGAGGCGGCAGGAGGAGTGTGACGCTGTGACTGACGGGAGGTTTTAAAGACCAGACTCCTCTGCTCCGCTGCAGGACAGTCCCGTCTCTTGTGTCCATCTTTGTCCAAGAAACTTTTCAGAATCTTCTGAAACTCATCATTCAAAATGACTGTGACTCAGGACCGACCCATGACATACGCAAAAATGAGGGGACTGGTGTCGTTTTTCTCAGGTAAATTAAGAATTTATTTCAGGCTTACTAACTTTATAAAACCAAAGTACTACTGGTGAATATATACACAAAAATGTACTTGTAATTTCTGTGTACACCAACAAATGTATATATATATATATTTCAGCTTATTTTGTCACACG